AAGAAAACTCATACCCATTAAAAGCAATCATTCCCCATTCCCCCCTCTCCCCAGCCTGTAACAAACATGAATCTGCTTTTACCTTAAATCATTAATCTGAATTTACCCCTGTTATGAATATCTCACGTAGATGGAATCATACGACATGTGGCTTTCATGTCTGGCTTCTGTCATATAACATATTTTAAAGGTTCATCCATGTTGTAGCATGTAATAGTACGTATTACTAGCACATATTAGTACTTCATTCCTTTTTATAAGTAATATTTCATTGTATGGATATACTACATTTCGTTTATCCATTCACTGTTTGATGGACATTTGGGTTGTTTCCATATTTTGGCTATTATGAATTGTATTCCTATGAACATCCATGTACAAGTATTTGTTTGGATACTTGTTTTCAATTTTGGGGGTCTATACCTAGGAGTGGAATTGCTGGGCTGTATGGTAATTCTTTGTTTATGTTTTTGAGGAACTGCCTACTGTTTTCCATAGTAGCTGCACCACTTTATGTTCCCACCAGCAGTGTACAAGAGTTTGAATTTCTTCACGTTGTCTCCAACACTTATTTCTTGTTTTTTAAATTATTATTATTATAGCCATCTCTAGTGGGTATGAAGTGGTAATCTCATTGTGGTTTTGATTTGCATTTCACTGATGACTTATATTGAGCATCTTTTCGTGTGCTTTTTGGCCATTTGTATATCTTCTTTGGAGAAATGTCTGTTTCAAGTCCTTTGCCATTTTTTAATTGGGTAGTTCGTCTTTTTGTTGTTGAATTGTGAGAGTTCTTTATATATTATGGATATTAATCTCTTATTAGATATGTGACCTACAAATATTTTCTCCTATTCTGTAGATTTTCTTCACTTGTAAGAATTTTTTAGTGTTAGCTTTTACATTTAGGTCTTTGATCCATTTTGAGTTAATTTTTGTATATGGTATAAGGAAGAGGTCCAGCTTCATTCTTTGTCTGTGGATATCCAGGTGTCCCAGCAACATTTGTTGAAGAGGCTGTTCTTTCCTCATTGATGGTCTTGGCAACCTTGTGGAAAATCAGTTGACCGTAGGTGTATGGGTTTGTATCTGGACTCTGAATTCAATTCCCTTGGTCTATATGTCTATCCTTATGCCAGTACCACACTGTGGTACTGATTGATTACTGTAGCTCTGTAGTAAGTTTTGCGATTGGGAAGAACAAAGTGAGTCCTCCAACTTTGTTCTTTTTTAAGATTATTTTGGCTAATCGAGGTCTTTTGCGTTTTCATATGAATTTTATGATCTGGTTGTCAATTTTTGCAAATAAGGGAACTGAGATTCGGATAGAGATTACATTCAGTTTGCAGATCTACTTGGGGAGTATTGCTGTCTTAGCAATATTTAAGTATTTTATTATTTTTAATTGAATTGTAAATGGAATTGTTTTCTTAATTCCCGCTTTGGATTGCTCATCACTGCTATATTTAAAACGACTCATTTTTGTGTGTTAATCTTGTATTCTGCAATTTTGCTAACTTTGTGTGTTACCTTTAATAGTGTTTTTTGTGTGTGAATTCTGTAGAATTTTCTTTAGAAATAAGATCATTTCATCTGCAAATAGAGATAGTTTTACTTCTTCCTTTCCAATTTGGGTGTCATTTATTTTTCCTTGCCTACTTGCTTTTGCCAGAACTTCTACTTGAATAGAAGTGGAGAAAGAGGGCATCTTTATCTTGTTCCTGATCTTAGAGAGAAAGCTTTTCAGTCTTTTACCACTGAATATGTTAGCTCTGGGGCTTTGATAAATGCCCTTTATCAGACTGAGGAAGTTCTGGTCTATTCCTAGTTTGTTGTGTGTTCTTATCATGAAAGTTTGTTGAATTTTGTCAAATGCTTTTTCTCCATCAATTGAGATGATCGTGTGGGTTTTTTTCCTTCATTCTATTAATGTAATATATTAATCGATTGATTTTTGTATGTTGGACCACCCTCATAATCCTGGGATGCATCTCACTTTGTCATAGTCTTACTATGCTCCTGGATTCAGTTTCCAAGGGGTATTATTTATCTCTGCTCTAATCTTTATTTCCTTTCTTCTGCTAGCTTTACGCATGTGGTTATTTCTATTTTGATGTACCCATTTATGTCTATAAATTTCCCTCTGAGCATTGCTTTTGCTGCAGCCCATAATTATATTATGGCATGTTTAAGTATTTTCTAATCTCCTTTGTGATTTCTTCTTTAAACCATTGGTTAAGAGTTTGTTAATTTCTACATACTTGTGAATTTTCTAGTTTTCCTTCTGATACTGATTTCTAGTTTCATTTCATTGTGATCAGAGAACATTCTCTATATGATCTTAATCTTTTTACATTTCTGGAGACTTGTTTTGTGGCCTAACATATGGTCTTCCCTGAAGAATCTTTTGTGTGCACTTGGGAAGATTGTGTATTCTGTTGTTTTTGTGTGAAGTATTCTTTACATATCTGTTAGGTCTAATTTTTTTATAGTGTTGCTCAAGTCCTCTGTTTCCTAATGGAACTCCTGACTAGTCATTCTATCCGTTACTGAAAGTAAGGTATTGAAGTCTCCAACTTATTTTAGTATGATCTATTTTTCCCTCCAATTCTGTCATTTTTTGCTTCATATATTAGGTATATATAGGTTTATAATTCTTTTCTTGACTGATTGACCCTTTTATCTATATACGTGTCTTTCTTTGTCTCTTATAACAATATTTGGCTTGAAGTCTATTTTGTCTGGATATTAGTATGAGCACATGCTATGAGTTGAATTGTTTCTCCCCAAAAGACGTTGAAGACGTGAATGTGACATTTGGAAGTAGGATCTTTGCAGATAAATAGGTCTTTGTGGTAATTTGTTGTGGCAGCCCTATGAAATTAATACAGATTTCAGTACCAGAAGTGGAGTGTTGCTGTAACAAAATACCTAAAAATGTGGAAATAGTTTTGGTTAATGGGTAGTGACTGGGAGAATTCTGAGGCACTTAATCAAAATAGCAGCCTTGATTGCCTTAAGGAGACAGTTGGCAGAAATATGGATGTTAAAGGCAGTCTGGGGAGGCTTTAGAAGGAAATGATGAACATGTTACTGGACAGTAGAGGAAAAGTGATGCCTGTTAGAAAGTGGCAGAGACTGTGGCAGAGTTATGTTCTGTTGGGTGGAAAGTAACACTTTTAAGCAATGGACTTGTACATTTAGCTGAAAAGATTTCCAAACAAAGTGTGGACAGTGCAGCCTGGTTTCTCCTAGTTGATGGAGGGTTAGATTGTTTCCATTCTTTAGCTATTATAAACATGCTACAGTGAACCTCCATGTGCCAGTTTATTTTCCTAGGGGTAGATACTTAGAGGTGGAATTGCTGGAAGTATTTTTGGACCTTCCCTGGAAGTGACGAATATTTATCAATTTCTTATATATTTGTCCAGAAGTGTTGTTACCATATCTATAATATATATCTTACACCTATATTATATATTTATTTTTTATCTATGTCTATCCATAAAATGTACACGTATATCAAAAAATTTGGATATTATATGGATATGGGGTTTTTTTGCATAATAAAGTGTCATGGAGTTGGTTTCATGCTTTTTGCACATTGACATGACATGTCATAATTCATATAACTAGTTTCCTCCTGATAATTTAGTTTTCTGCTCTTTTACTACTAAAAACAGTGCTATAATGACTGACTCTATACATAAAGTCATTTTGTAAGTGTGATTGTAGTTTGTAGGATAAGTTTCTAGTAGTTGAAATTAACGTGAAAAGGTATATGCATTTATAATTTTGATAGATATTGCCAAATTGTCCTTCATAGAGGTTTTGCCAGTGCCCACGCCATCATCTTATTAGAGTGCCTGTTTTTCTACAGCCTGGGCAATACAGTGTGTTGTCAGACATTTGGATCATTGCCAGTATGATGGGGAACAATACTATGGCACTGTCATTTTCATAAGTTTCTCCTATTATGAGTGGATTGAGCTTTTTTGTTGTTGTTTGTTCATATGTTTGAAAGCCGTAAGTTTTTACTGAGCTGCCATTTTTCTGTTGGGTGTTAGACTTTGTTTATAGTGGAATTTGCCATGCAGAAAATTGTTTTTATGTTTATGTAGTCAGATGTATCAGTCTTTAATACCTGAAATTTTGTGCTATTTTTAGAAAGGCCTTTTCCATTCTGAGATTATTTAAAGAATCTTCCATAATCAAAATAGGCTCACTTTTAGTATACTAACTTATGTAGATCTAAGTAATAAGCTTCTCTAGATATGAACACCAATTTGTAATGATAAGCTTTTTATTATCACTCGAGGGAATGACCTCACCTCACCTCATTTACCCTTTAAAGCTTGGAGAAATATAGGGTAACAGATTGTGTGTGTGCCTGTGTGCAGCATCTCATAGGTGAAACAGAACCATACTGGAGCTGGACGTTGTCATGATTTGCCCTATAGATTAATTCAGATTCATGATGTAGTTCTAAGTAAAATTATTGAATACAGTCAAGGGAAGGCATTCCTATTATGGAATTTCTTTTTAGGAATTCCTTGCAGCATTGTTTGGTTGTGTTAAATCATCTAGACATGTGATTCTCTTTCGTGCCCCTGTAGTTCTGGTCTTCTTTCTGGAACCACTCACTCAATTTAGTTGCTTTTGTCTTAGGTCTAAAGGTTAGAATTCCATGAATTGAATTACTTAAGTATGTTTTGCCTACTTCTGTTACAATTCCAGTTTTTAGTAGAGTAGATAGGGCAATATAAAATTACCACTTTGCAACGTACAAAGTTTTTTCTTTAGAGTGATGACAAAAAGGATAAGTTTTATCTAATTTTCCTCTCATCTTGTTTTTCTATTATTTCAATAAAAATCTGAGGGATTTTCTGAAAAAAATTTTAATTTATCTTCTTTTCATTGACTGTATTTAATAGTAGACATACAGAGATGGTTATTGGTTAACTGTAAACTTAAAAAGAATTGTATATGTTTTCGTCTAGATCCCAAGGAAGAGAAAGAGGAAGAAGATTCTACCCTCTCTCAGGAAGCTTCCGTTGCTGCAACTAGGCCTAGCCGGGGCTGGCGCAGCAGTAGCAGGACGTCTGTCTCTCGGCATCGTGACACAGAGAACACCCGAAGCTCTAGGTCCAAGACTGGTTCGTTGCAGCTCATCTGCAAGTCAGAGCCAAATACAGATCAGCTTGATTATGGTACAGTGCGAGTAGAGTGTGGTTATTTAATAACCAGTTGCCTGTTGATTTTAATTGTAATGTTGAACATTTGCCAAAACAGCTTAACTTTCAGGGGTAGGTGTAGTTATGTAGGAAGGATTCATTTTTGACAGTTTCCAGATACTCTCCTTTTGTATAACAACCACAGACAGTAATTTGGTATGAGTCTCTTGGCTGCAGAGAGAAAATATCTTTATCTACATAGATAAAGTTTTGTTTTGTTTTGGCTTTATTTTTCCAGATGTTGCAGAAGAGCATCAGTCTCCAGGTGGCATTAGGTAAGAAACTTTTCATATTTCATATATAAACCCTTGGAATCAAACAGAACAATCACGTTATATGATTCAGAAGTTGTTTCCTACTTGAAATAATTTTGAACTATTAAAGAGAAATTAACTTCAGTTTTGGTATTCAGTTTTTAGATTCCACTTTATTCTTGATTAGAGCTTTCACCATGTAGTCTTTAGTTATGTAGTTGAGAAACCATGTCTTAAGTACCTTTTGTGTTCTGGCTTATTCCATATTAGGCAGTAATGTGAAATGTGGGTGTTTTGACCCTAGTTTTGAAATTTTATCAGTGTCTTCATTTGATAAGTCATTTAATTTTTTTCCCTTTTTTTTGGTCTGTTGATAGGCCTTTTTTTTTTTTTTTTTTTACAGCAGATTACTAGACATAGTATTTTAAAATTGTTTTTTTAACTCTTAGTGCCATTGAGCAGTCATCACCTTACCTTTATTTAATGAAGTGATAGCATGTCTAGGATTTATGTATTTTTAGTTCCAATTATTATTCTTTAGGATAAAGCAGCTAGATTGCAGTCCAACTATACCATAAAGATAAAAATCCTAAATAACCTATTCTGAATCTTTGGCTACCTTTAAATAAATTACCAGATAAAATTCAGTTGGATATAATCCTTACAACTAGAATTTCTAATCTCTGTTTGCGTCTTTTTAGTAGTGATGAGGAGGAGGAGGAAGAAGAAGAAATGTTAATCAGTGAAGAGGAAATACCATTCAAAGATGACCCAAGAGATGAGACCTATAAACCGCACTTAGAAAGGCATGTCTCAGATTTTACTCCAGAGATGTCAATGAAAAATAAGTTAGGAAAACACTTGCATGCTTTTATTTTTCCTTGTTGCCAAACTAATGGGTATAGACTTAATTGTAAATGAATAGTTAATTATACACTTGTTTTGCAAATTTAACGTTATCTTATTACTCCCTCATACACCCCTCTTTTCCATTTATAGAACTTTATGTTGATCATATCCAAATTAAGATGTCTGCATGTTTTATCTTAATAAGATATCATGAATTGCCTAAATACTTAGAGTTTTTACTTTTGTCTTGTTTCTCTTTACAGCTATAGTGAGATTTGATACTAGGGCATCATGATCCTGGTGGGGTCATCTCATAGGCTTTAAATATATATCATTACTATGCATATGAGTAATGGTTGGCTGGAAATCACATTTCGTGAGCTGAGGATCATAATTTTATAATAACTTGACAATAACCCCAGGCTTTATCCTGTTGTCACAGTTTTCCTTGAAAGGGTCCTTTGTTGGATACCAGTGTTGAAATGTATTTGTGTTTTCAGGGAAACCCCAAAGCCACGGAGAAAATCTGGGAAGGTGAAAGAAGAAAAAGAGAAGAAGGAAATTAAAGTGGAAGTAGAGGTAGAGGTGAAAGAAGAAGAGAATGAAATTAGGGAGGATGAGGAACCTCCTAGGAAGTGAGTAGGCAATTACTACTAAAAATGGAAACTTAACAGGTTTTGAAACCACTAATGGAAAAAAAGGGTGGGGGTGTGAGGAGGGATGTTGACATATACATATTGCTGCCTCAAGCAGCTGACAGTGTTTCATTGGAGAGACTCTTCTCAAAAGCTTGAAAAGCTTAATTCAAAGCAATAAAGACATCCAAATGATTGGGTAAGACAGTGGCTATAGGGACGCAGAGGTAGTAGAGACAGCAAGAAAAAGTATGGCAGTGTGGATCCTCAAAAGGAGGGCAAATAAGGCAAATGTTGTAATAACCTTGATCGGGTAAAAACTTGCTGCCTAGTAATCATTTCCTATTGTGGAAATAAGACTTTTTAAGTGTTGAGGCTTTTTGGTTCTATTGCAAGTACAGTATAGTTTATATTTTTAGGGTTTTTAGATAATAGACTCTTTTTTTCTACTTCTTAAGTTGATTAAGTGATAGACTTTTCAAATAGTAATCTTGAGGTTTATCCGATTCTTCCATAGTAGTGCATAGTTTATGAAAGGTGTGTGTTTAACTTGTGATGCAGATTTACTTGAAAGTGAAATTACTTCAGAGTGAAATCTTTGGCTTGTCAGATATGTCTTTAGCTTTATGTATTCTGGCTTATCCTTGGTTTCTGCCACCTGCTCTTTGGTCTTGAGTATGTGTCTTCAGCCATCCTTCACTGTCTAAGCTTCAATCCAGAATATGTGGACAGTTACTCTATTCTTTAATTATAGGAGAGGAAGAAGGCGAAAAGATGACAAAAGTCCACGATTACCCAAAAGGAGGTGAGTAATTTATACTCCTACTGTGTTGTACCTTATTTCTGGTGATAGTTTACTCACATATTTAGCCTTCATAATTATCCTGCAGGAATGGCTATTTGAAAATTTCACAGAGGCAACTTCATTAATGTCCTTGTTGCAAAGTTACTATGTTATTTCCATTGCAAGATCTTAGAATTCCTAAAAATCTTAATACTTTTTGTTTACTTTTTTGAGGGTTATAAGTTTATTTTGTGCTATTTTTTAAAAACTCTATCAAAAGTATTTGGTAATTTCTGGTTACTTCTGACATAAATTCTGTGCAACCTATGTTCTAGTAAAGAGATTTTAATTCTTCATACTGTAAAATAGCTATTTCCTACAGTGCAGTTCGAGTTAAAGGCCAGTGTGCAGACTGCTTCTTTTCTGTTTCTAACTTTTCTCCTACATATTGATAATAGAAAAAAGCCTCCAATCCAGTATGTCCGTTGTGAGATGGAAGGATGTGGAACCGTTCTTGCTCACCCTCGCTATTTGCAGGTCAGTGAAGTTGTTATATAAAGCAGCATTTCAAGTTATGTTTCGTTACTAGTTCTCATACTTCATGAGACTTTGTGAACTTGTGTAGGCTTCATCATTGACATATAATGTTGAGAAAAATCTTTCTTTAAACATAAAATTATTTGAGTCATTGTGTTTAAAAAAAAGCGACTAAGAAGCTGAGCCCACATAGAGGATTTTCTTGGAATCTTGGAATATTCCAGTGTTTCCCATTGTGCTGTAAATACTTCTGATGTGAGATGTTTGTAACAACACACTGAGACACAGATGAAAAAATTTTATTTTAATTTGTATTTTTAAAGAATAAAATTAGCGACTCGAACCAGTGATTTCTTGAATACTACTTAGAATAAATTTTTAAAAACTAGTTTTCAGGGATTTTTTTAAGTGAGTAGAAGAGTAACGATACAGCTTATATTTAAATCTGGCACAAAATATGAAAGTGAAATGCTAATTACTGAAGCTTAAAAATGCCTATTTAATCTTTAGCAGCAAGTATAACGAGAGTCTAATGCCTTCCTTTCTGATTCTGGTTTTGTCATAATAATGACAGCTACTGTTCTTTCACTATGTGCTATTTGCTGCACTAGGCACCAAACAATATATGATCTCTGTATCCTCACAACAGCACTCTGAGACAGTTCTCGTTACCTCCATTTTACAAATGAGAACTGGAGCTTAAAATATTTAAGTGTGTCTCCCAAGATCACACTGCTAATGAATAACCCAGACTGGAATCCGAGTCTGTTTCCATAGCCTATGTTCTCTGTTCTCAACCATTTTATTGTACTGCCTCTCTATCCATGTACAAAGCATTCGGTTTTCCTTCAGCACTTAAACTTAACAAAAGAAGGAGCTTTCAGGGCACCTTAATTTTTATTCCTCATCACTTT